GTTCCATCGATTTCACCCTCTGAGAGGTGTCAGAGGTATTTTTCAGCACGCGTTAGGGATCATAGACCGTACGTTTAAACGGGCAATCCGAAAAATGGCATCATAAATAAGCCAAAACGCAGTTCGTTTCATTTCTCCGTCGAGGAATCACCCCTATTGCGAACGGCACACGTATCGCCAATTATAGAGCGGTTTGTACACGTGCGCTCACACGGGGGTACGTACGGTCCAAAGGGGTGGCCTTGCCACGTGTAATTTGTCTGCGTTACGTTACTTGGAAAGCTCCAGGATTCCGACGGCCCCTCTAATATAAAAAAAGTGCAATCTTCCTCTCGGCAAAGCGCACAAACGCCACGAGAAATTCGTATTTCTAATGTGACACGCCGGATTACGGGATTTATCGGGGGAGGGATTCTAAGTGTGTTCACGCTGACAACGGACCTTTAGATGAAACGAATGTCCCCGTCGAACGATGGCCAAGAGATCGCATATTTTTATCCTTCGCGTTTCATCATTCATCCTTTACGTCGACTTTCTTCTTTCCCTCTTATTGTTATTTGTTCTTCGTTAGTAACTTTAATTATTAACTGCAACAAATATATATATGCGTGTAAATATAAATAATAAAAAAAAAAGTAAAGCCTAAATTAAATATTTATTTCATCCATCAGATATTAACAATTATTTTATACAACTGGATGGGTGTATTTTTCGCGTATCGTATGCATTTCGCGCATCGTTACATTTTTACATTTTTCCATAAATGCATAAATATCCGTAGTTTAATTATCGCGAATTTACGCGTTCAATATGGTTGTGCATACAATAGAATGAAAATTTGTTTTTCCTCTTGAAATATTTTCATCGATCAAAAGAAGGATGAAAAATATCGTTAATATCAAGTTGCATACGCTGAAAACAACAACGTATCATTAATAAAGATACGAGATCTGTTCGTGGCTATGATTAATCTTACCGTACGTACGAATAAACGGAAATCCAAAGTCAAGTTTTAATTTAAAAAGAAAAAAAAAAAAAAACTCTCCTTCATCGTCACACCCTCCTTCACCGCGCACAACGCCGCCGCAATTCTTCTCTGCTTACAGTCGAGGCAATAAAAATCTTCCGCCTCTCCATGCATCGACTCTTCACCGAACGCTTAATTCCAACGGGATTCGTCGTAGCGACGCTCTTTCTCTCTCTCTCTCTTTCTCTCTCTTCCTCTCTCCGTGTCTCTCCCTCGATCCACGAATCTGGTTGCTGAAACACACAGCGTTGAACACGATTCGCCACGATTATTTTCCAACTCGCATCTAAACTATGTCCAATTTATTGCATATTCCGGGCGCTCGTTTCGTAATGACGGAACAACGGTGTGGTATCACGGTTGCGCCGCCTCCTTCAAAGTTTCGACTTCCAACTGCGCCAGAGTACCCAGCTGATGTATTCAATTTACAGTCGCGGAAACTTTACATCCATGCCGCTCCCTTAATTGTCCGGAACGCTGTGCGACTACCGAAATGAAAATGGAACGGAGTTTGCAACGTTTCGGGGGCTCGGGGCTGCGTCCTTTTCCTTCTTTCATTAGGTCCCTGGATACTGAGTAAATCGGTGTATTTCAACTACTTTATGAAACAGTGTTCTCCTTGGTTCCCTCGTTGTTAAACACGAACGAGAACTTAGCTTGGCAGGGAAACGAAAAAAGCTTGCACCAGAGAGGGGGGAGGGAGGGGGATGGGAAAACTTTGGAACGAGAGCCTTAAACCTTTTGAAGCCAAGAAAGTCGCTCGGTTTCCCCCATTTGTTCCCCCTATTTACTTTCTCCTATTCGATTGGCAATTAGACAAACATACGAACGTCTATTTAGTTCGAACGAAAGTTACGAAAACGAAGCGAGCCAATTTAACGGCGAACAACTCAGGATCTCATGTTTATTTCATCGAAGGGATAATACGTTGTTCGTGTCGTGGAATCGCGCTAACGAAAAGAACGAGCGGAGACTGCACAATGCCTATACCCTCCCTCCCTCCCCTATTTTATCTCCAAAAATTAATTCCAAGATCGAGAATCAAGTGTAACGAAAACTTTGTAAGATCCGTCTTTTCAATTATTAATCCAATTAATCCAATTAATAATCTACCTCTTGTGAAATTCATCAGATACGAATAGTTATAGATTCGACTCAAGAGAATGCAATTATATCTTTCCCCTTCCCCCCATGCTCATCTTGATTTCCATCACACCGGCCCGTTTCACCGCCGCGGGTCGAAAGAAGGTTTCGTTAAGTTTTAACGATCGCCAAGTGTAACATAGCATTCTCCATTCGTCCGGTTGACGATCGTTAAAACGAATCGGGGGTGATTTGCGCCTTCCCGTTCGCATTCTAGGTCTCCGCGCGTAATGAAACGTTGCCCTCTCTGTTTCTCTCTCACCCCCTTTTCGCTCCTCTTTTCATCTCGTTTCTTTTCCGTTCGCGTTTCATCGCGATTTTATTTCCACCTCGTGAGATTATTATCGAAGAGAGAAAGAGAGAGAGAGAGAGAATCGAGACACGCGAAAGAATGCGAGGAATCGTTGATCGTTTTCGATGGTCTTTTTATCGAGGAATTTGAAAACTGTTGCAAAACTTGCAACTTTCGTTTGGAATCGAGATTTAAGTTGAACTGGGGGTAATCTCGTTACGGGGGCTAGTGGAACGTGGTTGATCTGAAACTGTTCCTGGCCCTTCGTCCTTTTAGTTTGACGTAAGAGAGAGGGGATCTGGTTATCTGCGGGAAGATAAAAATTTTTCCTCGTTTTATTAACAATCTGTTTCGATTATAATTTCTTTCTTCTTTTTTGTTATAATTTTTCCACGAAAATATCATGCATATCCTTCTCCGATCGTGTATCGTACATCATTTACAGATTAAATCAAAATTAATAAAACGTTATTTTTTATTGCGTCACCTTTGATTTTTCCATAATTCTTCTGTATTATAATTTTTCGACGAAAAATTCACGCATATTGTTTTCTCCAATCATGTCCAGGCAATATCATTTCTTAATAAGATTATTTACCGCGATTACTATATCGTCCACCAGATTGGACTAAATCCAAAACAGAATGAAACAGAAAACTTCAAGAGTTCTTCTACCTTCCATCCAACGTATTATTTCCCACTATTGTATCGCGCGCGAAATTACATCACCTTCGATTTTCCATAATTAATAAACCGGGAGGAAAAGTCGGGAGTGGGAGGTATCGAGCATATCTCCGCCACAGTGAACTCCTCTACCATAATTTCATTTCCACGTATGGAGAGAGGAAGCCTCGATCCTCGTTCCATCTATCGATGCTCTCGCATACGTATTCCTCGGTAATCACCTTGACGCGGCCATGTTCCCGCGGAACGGTCTACTAATTAGCCGGTTTCGATCGTGTCTTGATGATATGTGCGCAATTATTTATGCAAATCAATCCTGTTCAGCCGATCCGTTTTATATCGCGGCAGGGTACGAGGGGCTGGGGACATTAGTTAGCGCGAAATCCGCGGAGGGGAGGGGGAATTTGTAGGATCGATCGGGCGGATCGACGAGGGGGAGTAAGGGTGGAAAATAGGATTGGATCAAAGCGGTGCAAATGAGGAGGTTAACGGCCTTCAGGCTAGTTACGTTTCCCTGTATATCTCGTGTACACGTAGGTGCACGTGTGTTGTGCCCGGCCGGCTGACCGCGTCGCCTCGTTAATATTAAGCATAAGGTCAATAAGGCGAGGGTTAAATGGAGCGGATGTCGCTTTGACCGGCGCTTCCACGTTGGCGGCTGTATCCTCGTTTCGTTTCGTTTCGTTTCGTTTCGTGGAAAAATTCTGATCGCTTTGTAGGATTAAATGTTTTTCGCGTTTTTCATAGTAGTGGATGGAACAATGGTCGTTATCGCGTAATCTATGTATATCTCTCGTGTTCCGTTTGATTTTTAAACGGGAATGGATGAAAATCTTCAGTTTCGCGTCAGAGAAGAAATATTCTTTCTTATAACGGCGTAAGCGTGAAACGTTTTCAAGTTTGCTTGTTATCGACGAATCACGAGTCAATTAATTATTTGATAAAACAATAAAAGGGGTAAAAAAAAAATTGGACTTATTTCCGGAACTTTTCGAAGGTTATTCGATGAAAAAGAGGATTTTGATACCGTTTATAACAATTTCTTAGGCTATAGAAATTAATTTCCCAGACAGAGCAAATTTTACAACGCGTCTTTCATTCCCTTTATAATAAAATTAAAAAAGTGGTTTCGTAGTACGAAAGAGGAACGGGGTGGAAGAAACGGTTGAAGAAGAATAAGAAGAGGGAAACGAAAAAAAAAGTAGAAAGAGATATAGAGGGAGAGAAAATTCTAAAAAAAGATACCGATACTCTTAAAACCTTTGGAATGGCCGGGGGTCACGCGAGTTCACCAAGCAATCTGAATGCGTGCTTCTCCTAATGAAGCTTCTGAATAGCGACTTGCGACTCTAACAGGAAGACTGATGCACGGCCCTCGGTATTAAGAAAATAAACTTCCTTAAGCCAAGTCCTGGAATGCCCTCTCGTTAGTTTTCTCGATGCCAAAGAGCCAGGGATATATATCCCTTGGTTTGAATGCAGCTTCCTGGACCCGCTCCCTCTCAACTGCTTCTTCTTCTTCTTCTTCCTCTTTTAGACCGGGATAAAAAGAGTCGAAAGTAGTTTACCGTCTGCGGATATAGAGGAGATTCTATGGAATATTCGGATCGATCTTTCCCGCAGGGAAAGGGAAAGGGTGGTTTACTTACGTTACGAGAAAGGCGATGAACAGGGGGGCGAAGAAAGTCGAAAAATGATCCGAAAAATATTGTTGTATCGATATTGGGCATCCTCTCTTTACTATTTTTCATTTTGCTTTGAACAGAGATTAATCACGTCAATGGTCGAGATGTATAATCTTATGATTTTCAGTTTTCTTGAGACTATCCAAATTTTGAACCTGGGGGAAATCGAGAGATATTAGATTTGGAATTAATTATTCGAGAATCTTTAATAAAAGTTTCGACGGTTATTCTAACAGGAAAAGTTTAACTACATTGAAGAACTTTATGTATTTTTCTCGATTCGTTTTAAAAATATTAAATACGTGCGTGAAAGAGAATGATGAACTGGATTGTTATTTGAATTATATTGAACTGACTTAATGGGATGAAATGAAAGAGGGTGGAGTGGAAAGACTGGTTTGTTTGTCGAAAACGAAAGATGAAACGTTTAAAAGAGGAAAATTAATAGTTCGGGTGATTGCTTGGATATAAAGACGTCTACCTACTAATTAAAATTTCTGTTCCCGGAAAAACCGACGGTAGAAGCCTCTAGATAACTGGTAAAGCTTCGCGTACCTTTTCAAAGTGATTATCTCACAAAGAAGAAAGCCTTTAATCTGGCCCGTAGACGGCTATTTAATTATAAAAAATAATATTCACTTGAAAAATGATTTTTCAGCTTAAAGGGAAACTTCGTGAAAATTCGTAAGATTTCCATATTAACGTTTCCTTCTTCCTTGATGAGAAAAAGCTCTTTCATAATCAACCGTTGTTAACCGTTGAATTATCGGCGGATGGCACGTTCTCGTCACGAAAATCTGAAACATTTTGCGCAATCCAATTAGTTCTCTCGGGATTAAAGTAAGATGAAACAATGCAAGCAATTTCATCTATCCTTTTTTTCACGTAATATTCGTAAATGTTAATTCCCCGTTGAAAATTATGCAAAATTATAAATCGATCATAAAACGATATTTTATATTACCTTCGGATAAAAAAAAATTAAAACTTGATTAGATACACAACGAATTGAACAATAGAACCGCCACATTCTCTGTTTTGACGATTAATTTCACATATACATATATTCTTTCCTGTTTTAAAAATACGATTCTAAACATCGAACACCAAGTTTTCTTCTTTCTTCGCAACGACGAGTCGATCGAAATCAAGGAAAAACGAGATTCAACGTAAAACATTCCAAGTTGAATAGAGAAAGATTAGGTAGGTCGATATATTCACTGACCCACCCTTGCCCATTTGAATTTTATTCGACGTCCCATGGAACCGTTGACAAATTCCATTCCGTTAAGTGAAGGCGCGGCTGACGTGTCGAGTCTCGTACTCGTTCCAAGCCTCCATTCACCCGAAGAGTAGCTCGACGACGTGGCGAGATACACCGCCGAAACTTTCCCTGCTTTCCTTCCTCCACCCTGTTACATCCCATCGTTTTTTCCCTTTGCGAGCATCCACCTTCTTCTTCTTCTTCTTCTTCCTCCAGTTTCCAGCCCTCGGCCTTTGGAGGAAGGGAGCATGGTTAGAGGAGCATCATCCCTTTTCTGGCCCCCATACCCAACCACCATCACCACCCTCCTCCCTCCCTCTCCGCCCGTTTCTGCCGCGTAGCTCCGCTCTCGTTACACTTCAACCCTCGTGCAACCCCAAAACGTTACGCTTAGTTTGATTCAGCACGTGGTACCAGCCACTTGGCCTCTCCCCTTCTCTCTTTCTCCTGCCATTTCTTCGGCCCCCTCGTTTCACCCCTGCGTATTTCATCCCTCGATCCCTGCCCCGTTTACGACACCCCTCGTGATGTTATAAGCCTTTCACGTTTAGTAGAATTCGCGCGCTAATTGCGCGACCATGCGGAATCGATGGGATCGATCGACGCGAGATCGGAGAGTTTTTTTCAAATATTTTTTTTATTTTTTTAATTTTTGCCCTTACTATGACGAGGTACGCAATTCGTAACGTTTTTCATTATGAAGTTTTTTCACATTTTAATTTAGGATCGCATCTATGATCGATATGATCGATATATGGGAATAGAATATTCGAGTATTTTTCTTTAAATATTGATTTACCATTCCTTTTCGAGTATTCTGCAAAAAAAGGGAAAAAGATTATTCTTATTACCTTTCTCCCGTTATAATAAATCTGACTTTAAAAACTGGCTAAACGAAGCGACGAGCCGGCGCTGCGGCGTTCCAGTGGTCGAAAACATTCAGCAAAGCTTGCGGTTTAATGTATAGTTAAATACTCAGGTGTAACGTTTGCTCGGGTAACCGGGTTTCATTTTTAACGACTCGCCGCCGCTTTCGTAAACGGGAGGGAATCGCGTTGAAATGCAAACAAAATCAGAGAGAGGAGGGGAGAGGAGGGGAGGGGAGGGGGGAAGGGGTCGGTTGACGTCGGGGGTTGAAACGAAAAGAGGAACTTCGGGCGACAAGGAATTTCTGGAATTTCCACCCGTGGCTGCTTTACATATTAACTAATTCCGCTATCTGGCCTGCCCCAACTTTGGATTAGACGATTCCCCGGTTAGCAATACCGCATAATGCGATGCAATGTTCGTGCTTGATTGTAACTTCTCTCATGGAAATTGCCATTATCATTCGGTTGGTTAGCGCTAATAGAAAAACTGACCTATTTCGTCCCTCCTCCCTTCCTTCGTGGGAGAGGAAAAAAAAAACTTGGAAATTTTTGCACATCGTATCGTTCCTCTCCACCCCTCGATTCGCTTTATTGGGTTTTAACAAATTTTCCGCCAGAGAAATTTCGGTATACACCTAGTTTGTTTTAATCCAAAATCCATTCACTATCGATTAAATTTCCGATGTGCGGAAATAAAATTTCGATTCATCGGAAGGGAGTTAAGGATAATTTTTTCTGAATTATTTAACAGAAAAGAATTGTTGTAGAAAATATTTGTTAAAAAAAAAGAAATGGTGGAAATAAACACGCGACGAGATATATTTTTCCTAAAAATAGAAGAAAAATCCTTGAACCGTGATTACGGTAAATCGGCCTCCTGGCTTTATAAACGATTGAACAAAATCGGAATGGTTCCGTGCTTTTTACGTAACCGTACACGCGAATAATGTTACACGGATCATTTTTGTGTCTGCGCATCATCTCGTTACGTCGCCCGATAAAATTATCGGAAGCGGCGACGAAAAAGAGGTCGCATCGAAATAACAAAAAATTATAAACGATCTGATTGAATTTCAAAATTTATTCGATCTTATCCCCCGAATTTGTAACAATATCGCGAATCAAAATACCAAATAATAGGTATTTTTTAACTTATGATACCGAGAAATGAGAATCACGTTGTTCTATCTTCCAAAAATTAATTATAACATCTCGAATAATAACAAGCTTGTTAATAAGCTTTTTTTTTCAAAATCACAATATATTCCATATATATTCCAAATAACCACGCAATCCATCGTTTCTTCAACGTCACAGACATTGAAGAACGAATTCCGCGCGTGAAGGCACGACGCGAAGGTTAATCAATTCCAGACGCGGCGTCGTTTCCGCAGACTTAATTCGTGCTTGGGCGCAAGGGGGGTGTTGGAAGCCTTTCCCATTATTATCCGACGTACGAAGGGTTGGACTCGCACCACAAGGGAGTCTGGTGCCGCGAGCTGCCTCCCAAGGACGAGCCAAGAACCATTTCCTTCCTCTCTCTCTCTCTCTCTCTCTCTCCGCGCGACTCTTGTTTCCTCATCCCCCTCGCCCTCGCTCCCGATTCACTTCCTTCTGTTTCCGTGTCCGGGGTTACGTTGCAGCAACTTTGTTCTCCGGAGAAATTCCCCGTAGCGCTATCTACATATTTGATGTCGCCTCCGTCCACTCCGCTAATGCTTCTCGTTAGAAACTTACCCGCGCGACCCGTGCGGTTTCCCCGCTTTCTCTTTCTCCACGGGCGTTTCGTTTCTTGGCTGTCTTGCCTCTTTTAAACCATTCCCCATTGTCCGTACGTCTGACGCACGATACCAGGTGACCCATCCTCCGCTACGCGATGTACTCGTGAAACGCCAGCTTTTAACCCAGGGGAGGAAATGCTCGTCAAAACGATGCGTGTGTACGCGCGGAGTAGCACTTGCTCCGGGAGGAAAGTTGGAGACTTTGTTTAAGGAACGATGTTGATATACTCTTTGAAATGGTAAGTGGTAGTAGTGGTTGAAGATATTTTTTTTTTCTGTCGGATGTAACTTCGTGATGTAATAATAATCGTAATAATATCTTGGATGTATAATTTTATAGGATATGATGTCTCAGTTATCTCTTACGGAAAAATTAAAAAAAAAAATTTATCTTTAACATATTCGTTAATTATGTTATAATTAATTATGTTTAAGGATCGATACGTTCGTGTAATTAACATTTTTTTATTACACAGGAAAAATAAAGCACCGATTTGTCAGACAAATCACGAAGCAAGTTACAATAATTTATTTATTTAATTAAAGCGTAAAAATTTACTTTTATAATATAATAATATCATTTTTTCTTTTAATAAATAGAAAAAAATATGGTATGATATTATTTTATTATTGTGAAACGGAATAACTGAATGGCATTTATTCAGGACAATAAAAAAAAAATCATTTGCGTTCCATTGCACGCGAAATATTTTCCAAAAAGTTTTTTTCTTTTGTTTCGCTTCCTTTATTTGCCACGCTATAAAACATATCGTTCCTCCGTGTTTTTTAATATAGCAATATTCTCTTTGATCTCAAACGTACACGTCGTACCATTTTTTTTTTTTTTTTCAATTTCTCGTGATTATCTCTTTTTTTTTCTTCTCGCTAACAGAAAGAGACAAACACGAGGGAATATTTCGCGTAACGGGATTTCTAGGATGCTCGTATCATCCGTTCCATCTTTTTCGATACGCCATTAAATTTTCCAATTTGCCTCTCCTCGTTCGAGTCTTATTGCTTCGTTCCCGCCATTTGCCCATAAGCGGACGCGCGAAAGGAAACGCGGAAAGGATAGGATAAAAATCAAAGGAAAAAAAAAAAAGAAAAAAAGAAAAGGATCGCGACTACTCCGCGATGCAGTTTCCCTACAGCGAGTCGTTTTTATCTCTGTTGTTAACTCCGCGTGTTATTAAATTATATTCAATTTCTTGTTTTTCTTTCCTTTCTTCCTTTTTTTTTTTTTTTTTTTTTTTTTTTACTCCCTTCCCATCCTCGTTTCTCCGATACTCCAATAACGAAAAGATACCAACGTGTAACAAAATATTCTCTACGATATGCTATATTGGTAGGTAAAAATGAATACATATTCAACCCCGCTGGCTCGATCCTCCATTTCTATTTCCATTACTTCCGTTTCGAGGGGAAATCGTTGGATGCCGTTTCCGAATAATCAGAACAGATGTGGAAATGTACGGATACCACGTTTCCATCTTTGCTTATTTTTTTACTTCTTCGATGTATCTATGTGACGAAATAAATTTATTTTTCGAAGTTAACGAGTGTAACGAAAAATTCGATTCTTCGATTAGACTCGACTCTTGCGACGAGTTCCATTCTGCTTAGAATGGATTTAGAATGAATTTTATTCGGCCGATACAACCAATAATTCACTGTGAATACAAGAGACGAGAGTTAAACATTATATGATTAATTTTACTCTGGTAAAGTTTACTCTAAGCTGGCTTATGCAGCATTATAAACTCGCGGTTATGTCGAGTATACATACTTTAATTATATCCTGGATACTAAATATGTATCGTTATCTTTAAAGACCCACTTAATTTCATCATAACGTTACATCCAACCGTTTATTTCTTTTGAAA